ACACATACCCATGTTCATTGTAGCACTATTCACAGTAGCGAAATGAGGGAAACTACCGAACTGTCCATCAGTGGAAGAGTGAATAAACTACTTCACGTACACACAAGGGAATAGTGTACAACGCTAAAGAATAATGTTGAATCTGAAACACCTCATATCATAGATGAATCTGTAGGGCAACTAATACTAAGTGAAATTGCAAAAAGAGAAATACTACATGAGACCACTATTATAAAAAAACAAGAAAAGGTTTTTCACACTAAAGAAATATTCTTAGATGGTTTCGGGGAAGGGAGGGTTAATTACTAGCTAGAGGGTTGACACCTATTAACTTTGGTAAAGGGGACGATAATAAGAGGGAGGAGACCCAAAAAAGAAAAAAATATATATATATTTCCCATTTAGAAGTGACTCACCATTAAACATTTCATTGGAAAAACAGGTTGCTTGGCCATGCATAATTTCAGAGGGGATGTGAAATACAAAAAAATTAAAACCAAAAGCACTTTTAAGTACTTTATTTTAAGTATTCAACTATCTTTTATTGAGGTCTCCCATGGTATCTGCTAAACAGTAGATGAGTTAATCATAGTCTCTACCTTTGAACCTAACTATCACTTTATGCCACCACTCATCAGTTTGTCATATTTTGGTGGCTTGTGTGTTGCTGTGATTGTAGAAGCTATGCAACGGGTATTTTAAATACCAACCCACAGTTGGCAGGTGAGAGATGGACTACTTCCAAATATTTAGTAATGGAAAACTTATGAATAGCAGTGGAACACTGTTAGATAAAGTGCTGGAAAATGAGCCCCTCAGGTAGGAAGGCACTCAAAATGGGACTGCTGAAGAGCTGCCCTCGGGACCTTCATTTGCTGAATATGGTTATGCTGAGTATGAGTATTCTGGAACACTTAATTGTGCTCATACGGAACCTGTACATAGACCAAGAGGCAGTTATTCAAACAGAACAAGGGAATACTGAATGGTTTAAAATTAGAAAAGGTGTGTGCCAGGGTTGTATTTTCTCACTATACTTATGCAATCTGTTTGCTGAGCAAATAATCCGAGAAGCTGGGTTACATGAAGAGAAATGTGACATCAGGATTGGAGGAAGATTCATTAACACCTTGCAGGATATGCAGATTTCTACCTTGCTTTCTGAAATAGAAGAAAACTTAAAATACTGATGAAGGTCAAAGACCACAGCCTTCGGTATGGGTTGCACTTCAATATAAAGAAAACAAAAATCCTCATCACTGGACTGATAAGCAATATCAGTATCAATGGAGAAAATATTAAAGTTGTCAAAGACTTCATTCTTCTTGGGTCAACCATCAGTACTCATGGAAGCAGCAGTCAAGAAATCAAACGACATATTGCATTAGGCAAATCCTGCTCCACAAGACCTTTTTTTAAAGTGTTGAAGAGCAAAGATGTCAGCTTGAAGACTAAGGTGCGCCTGACCCAAGCCATGGTATTTTCAATAACCTCATATGCATGTGAAAGTTGAACAGCGAGTAAGGAAGACAGTAGAAGAATTGATGCATTTGAGTTATGGTGTTGGAGGAGATTATTAAGTTTCATAGACTGCCAAAAGAACAAACAAATCTTCTGTTGGAAGAAGTACAGCTAGAGTGCTCCTTGAAAGCCAGGATGGCTAAGCTTCATGTCTCATACTTTGAACATATTATCAGGAGGGAACAGACGCTGGAGAAGGATATTATGTTTGGTAAAGTGGAGGGTCAGTGAAAAAGAGGAAGACCCCCAACGAGATGGATTGGTGCGGTGGTGGCAGCGATGGGCTCAAACATAGCAACGATTGTGAGGTTGGCCCAGGACCAAGCAATGTTTCGTTCTTTTGTGCCTTATGAGTTCTGATGTGGTGTTGTAGGGTAAGCACTGGACTGCTAATCATGAGGGCAGTTCAAACCCATCAATTGCTCCTCAGAAACCTTATATATGGTCACTATGAGTCAGAACTGACTCAACAGCATTTAACAACAGTATCCTATGAAGATGGCAGTGCATGTTTCATGGATTCCAAGAATATTAACCACATAGTTACTAAGTAACAAGCCCTCAGACTTAAACCCAGGTGTATGTAAATCATGGGTTTTTCTTTACATCTATCATCAGAAGTTGATACTTCTGTTTATTTCTGCCTATCTACTTGAAGGAGGCCTGTTGTGGCGCTGCAGGATAACGTGCTGGACCGTAGGGTCAGTTATGAACCGCAAGGTCGGTTGTCAACTGCAAGATCGAGAATTCAAATCCACCCGCTGCTCCTCAGAAACCCTATACAGGGTTGCTGTGAATTGGAGTCGACTGAACAACACTTACCGACAACAGTATACTTGACGTTTTAGTTGTTTGAGGCTGAGTAATAATGTTCTTTAGCATTTCCCTGTCAGCTCATGTAAATAAGAAAATTTATTTATGTGAAAACTGTTTAAATGTAACTATATTTCTTGGCTGGTTTTCACACATTTTTCTTACTTTGTTCAATTACCCTCCTTGTTAATATTTACATATGGGTAAGTATACCCTATTCATTCGGAGACGTCAACATGAGGCCAGAAGAATAAGATGTCCTACAGTAATAGATCATAACCTTTTTCTTTACCAAGTGGGCTTTTGTTTATATGTATCAGGATCAAGGGGAAGCTTTAAACTTCTATGAACTCGTGAGGATTATCACTTGAATGGAATTTCCACAATTGTGGAGCCTTGCCATTGACCTCACATCAATTCACAATGTTGGAAAAAGTCCTCTTACACATTCTTTACCAAGTACCCTCATATGCTGTCATTATAACTATTTTGCTGACAGTTGACTAGCCTCCATAAGAGTAGCTTATATTAGAGAGAGAAACAAATAAGGCATTTCACTTGATTTTATGATGAATACTTACCTTGGTACCTGGTGGGGTGTTGTAGGAAAAGCACTGGACTACTAACCACAAGTTCTGGTTCAAGCTCAATAGGTGCTCTTTGGAAATCCTGTATGAGTGGTTCCGAGTCGGAACCAACTTAGAGGCACTTAACAGCAACAGCAATGCTTAATTATCAACCTTTTGGTCAGCAGCCAAGTTCTTAACCACCGGGCCACCAGAGTTAGAGTTCCTTAATGCTTGTTTAGTTCAGCAATTTTGGTTTGCATGCATGAAAGTGTGACTTTTTTGTCATGCATCCTCAAACACATCATCTGAGTATTTTAAGGATGCCATGGCAATAATCTATATTTCTCTCAAGACTGACTTCAGTAAAAGAATCAAAGTATGAGCAAGAATTTTTTTTTTTTTAAAGGAAACCAATATATATTTTTTAAAGCTACAATATTTCATTTGATAATGACTTATTTTCAGGGTAAGTATTATAGTATTAATGATTATTTTATTGATTTCATATTTACAGCCTATACTTAATTTAAGGGACCTTGGATTATCTGAATTAAAAATTGGACAGCTTGATCAACTCGTAGACAGCCTACTTCCGGGATTTTTTAAAGGCAAAAAAATTTCTTCCCATTGGCACACATCTCATGTCTCTGCACAGTCCTTCTTTGAAAATAAATATGGTATGTTAATATATTTTTTGTTCCAATTCAATCAAGCTATTTTAGTGCTATTAATAAAGTATTAGCTTGTGCTTTGGACCAGATTATTTTGTTTTTGAATAATTTTAGGTAGACATAAAAGATACAAAGTAGTACAGAGTTCCCAATAAGCCTTTCATTTCATGTTGACACCCTATATTGCCATAGTACATGTTGAAACTAAAAAAGTAACACTGATACAATACTTTATAAACTACAGACTTTTGATTTCACCAAATAAAGTGTTTCCAATTCTGTCATTTTGTTGTGTTCTGTTTTGTTCCAGGATGCAGTCCATTCTAGCATACTACATTGCATTTGTTGTTGTTAAGTTCTGTTGAGTCGGTTCTGACTCATTGTGACCTTGTATAGGGATTTCGAGGAGCACCTTGTGGATTTGTTTTTTTAAATTAGGTGGCATTGGATTCCAGGTAATATACTAATCTGAAATAGTCAGGCACCATTTTTTGTGGAATGCTTACAAGTTTATTTAGTCTTACAACAATCTAGAGGAGTCCTGGTAGCGTCGTGGCTTACGGGCTGGGCAGCTAACCTCAAGGTCAGCAGTTCAAATGTACCAGTCATTCTGCATGAGAAAGATGACACTTTTTGCTCCCATAAAGACTTACAGCCTCAGAAACCCTACACAGGGTCGCTATAAGTCGGAACCAACTCCACAGCACACAACCAACCAATAAGATTATCTAGTGTTGTGACAACATACTCTATAGTCTGTTGAACCAAATGCCAATTTTTGATGGTACTAAGAACATTTCTGAAAGTTAGTGTAAGCTGTAAAAGCCTAGTAACAGTTTTGTGACAAAGGTTTGAGTGTGAGCTATACTTCACATTAAGTTTAGTGTATTATGTTATACTTCACACTTCCTTTGCCTTTATTTAATAGGATCAATGAAGCAGGAGCCCTGATAGCGTAGTAGATTATGAACTTGCCTGCTAACTGCAAAGTCGGTAGTTTAATTCTACCAGTCGATGTATAGGAGAAAAATGAGATTTTTCTGCTCCCATAAAGATTTACTGCCCCAGAAACCCTATACAGTGTCACTATGAGTTGAAACAGTGGCACACAGCCACCACTACCAGGATCAATAAAGAAGTCTCTGGGTCTTGCAAACATGCAGTCAGTTAAAACTTGATTACTAACCTCTGAATGTTGGCAGTTTGAATCTACCCAGAGGTTCCTTGGAAGACAGGCTTGACAATCTGCATCGGCTAGGTCATAACCTTGAAAGCCTTATTAACAATTCTATTCTGTACACCTGGGGTCACAGTAAGTCTCAGACAACTGCGTAGCAACTAATAACCACACAAATAAGTAAAAAAATTATAAAAGTTGGGGGGAAATGAACAGTTTTTAAGCTTGAGTTAGCTAAAAAATCTTCAATTTTTTTTTTTTAATGTTATACTACCTTGAGGCCATAATTTTTAATGATTATGACTGAGGGCTTTGGAGTAAGATTAATGTCAAACTCCGTTTGCTGCTGTCTATGGAATCTCTCCTCTTCCCCCCCCCCCAGTAAACTGCTATTTTCTCCATAAAGTAAGAATAATAACTTCCAGTCTCGTTGAGAAGATCAAATCTAGTCTAAAGTACTTGTATAGAAAATGCTCAGTAGGATAGTTTTTATTGTTAGGATCATTGTTATTACTCCCTTTACTCTTTTGCATGCTTACATTTTCCTTTTAGGTTGTTCCTTATACCATCCGCTATTTTCTAGGTTTAGGCAGACATAGGTATTTGAAAGGGATATCTTGACTTGACCATAAGGATTCTTATAAGAATCATTGAGTCCTAAGCAAGACATGGGATTGATGATAATTGTTTGTTTTTATTGTTAATAATTGGGGTGGGTGAAGGGTTGTGGTGGTTCTGTAGGATAAATACTGGACTATGAACCATATGAGCCTACTAGCCTCCATATAGAAGAAAGATGAGATTTGCTGATTCCACAAAGATTTACTGCCTTGGAAACCCTATACACAGTAGCTGTGTGTTGGAACCAACTCGACAGCTCTAATAACAGCAGAAACATGGTTGACACTGACTTCCCTTAGGAATCATTGATGTAAATTAGGATGTAGCCCGTTAGTTTTAAGAATAGGAGTTTGGAAGGACCGTCAAAGTTTTATGGTGTACAGCTCTAGAGAGAACTTTTTCATACCAAATGACTCTTTATGAAAACCTTTAAGATTAGAGAATGATAACAGTATCTCTGATTTGCATTGTTTTATCACATTCTTCACTGGAGCTTTTAGGATTTTTTTATAGGAAATAACAATTTCTCGTCTCTGTTATTTACTAAAAGTAACTTTACAGATAGATCTTTTGGGTTGAATTTAGTTTCTTTGACAGCTATATTTATATACCAAATTTAAAAACTGGTCTAATGGACAAGTGACAGTAAGTTGAAGAACTATGACGAGTTCTTGGTTAGATTACCAAATAGCAATACTTTAAATATTGTTAAAAAAAGCTGAGTCATCATGGGCAAATGCCAGGTGAAGCTCATTATGTTTTGAGTTTTGTAGTATTTTATAAAATTATGATATTTCCTATGTAATTATTTTTTGTTGGCAATTAAAATATTTATGTTTTTCAATTTTCTTCTAGGTTACTTAGATGTATTTAGTACTTTACGTTCATCTTGTTTGTACAGACAACATCCAAGAACTCTTCAAAGCATTTGTTCAGATCTTCAGTACTCACCAGGTATGAAGCAACAGATGTCTTTTTTAATTTGGAAAGAAAAAAAAAATTGTATGGTATTCTGTTTTGTCTTCCTTAAAAAAATTAATGATTCACAATATATATAGCTAAAAGTTACAATCTGTAACCTCCGTTGTTGTTGTTAAGTGCCATTGAGTCGATTCCAACCTGTAGCGACCCTGTATAGGATTTCCGAGGAGCAGCTGTTTAGCTTGAACTGCCGACCTTGCAGTTGAAATGGCTTTGCAGTCTGGCGCATTAACCCACAGCACCACCCCAGGATTCCATAACCTCCATGTTGTTGTTAAGTACTGTGGAGTCAGTTCCAACTTATAGTGACCCTGCACAGAGTTTCAGAGGCTGCAAATCTTTACGGAGCAGAAAGCCTCATCTTTCTCCTGCAGAACAGCTGGTAGTTTCGAACTGCCAACCTTGAGGTTAGTAGCCCGATTCGTAACCACTACGCTACCAGAGCCTTATAACCTCCATAGTCTTACAAAAATTAATAAAAATAGAAAGAAATGTACAAAGGCCATGAATAGTCAATTCACTGAAAAATAAAAATAATCAATAAAAGTATAAAACAATTTTTAGAATTTTCCTCATTTTTGCAAGGGGAGGAGTGCTTGTGTGAATGTGAATGTATGTGAGTTGCATTTGGGATTAGCAATACAATGAAGTGTCTCAAACATTCAGTAATATTTTCTATGATCCACACCATGATATCAGAATTCAGCAATATATGACAGCTGAGATAGAAAGGCTTGAAATGTGATAAACTTGAAGTCTGAAACACTTTACATATAAAACAACACAATTTGTTTGACAGTTATATAAATGCCACCTACTCTGGTAGTGTAGTGGTTATGAATCGGGCTGCGAACCTCAAGATCAGCAGTTCGAAATTACCAGCTGCTCCGCGGGAGAAAGATGAGGCTTTCTGCTCCTGTAAAAATTTACAGCCTCAGAAACCTTTTACAGAGTTGCTATAGGTCGGAACCAACTCAACGGCACACAACAAGGTATTCACCTACTGATGTGGTGCTGCAGGATAATGCACTGTACTGCATGGTCGATTTGAACTGCAAGGTCAGCACTTCCGATCCACCACCTTCTCAGAAACCCTGTACAGAGTCGCTCTGAGAGTTGGTGCCGACTTGATGACATTTAACAACAACAAAATAAATAAACAAAAACAAGAAATGTATCTGCTTTCAAGACAGTTATAGTATTTTATATAATGTGAGAAATGAGAAGAGATTCAAATCAGGAAGCCAGACACTGTCAGTGGAAAAGAACATGTGTTGGAATCAGTGTCATGTACATGATTTCAAGACAGAGACTTATAATAGAGTTTAAAATAAATCTCACAATTGAACTATAAAACTGCCATTAAACTAAAGGCAGTATTTGCGCTGTCATGAAAATGGTATGCAATATCTTGTTAAGTGAAATAAAACTGCACAATTTCTAGAATAGTTCCTATATAAGAAGTATATTTGCATTCATGGAAGGATAGTTCTGAAATTGTTTTCAGTGGTCACTTCTAGCAAGTGGGATTAGGGTTAAGGGAATTAACCTGACTTTGAATACTTCTACAGTGTTTATTTATATATACTTTGTAATTATCAAGGAAAATGTAAAATTAGTTACATAGATATAAATGATTTTAGTGACTTGACTTTTTTTGGGGGCGTGCAGGGGCTTATTTTTTCAGAGTTGCTGCTCTAATTCTAAATTGTAAAATCCTCTTTCTTCTATATTTGCACCCTATTCCCCTTCTTCATTAATCATAAAATAAATGGAATGCTTGAGGTTCTCGTATGTAAAGGACAGGAGAAAACTGTAAAGCATATTTAAATGTCATCTAAAACAACTGTCAAAAAATAAGTTTATTAACTTAAATATTTATTTAACTTACATGTATGGTATCAGAGTTTTAAATCTTAGGAATTTTTTTCCTTGTAAAATATATAATGAAAAGTAAATGATACTGTTTTATTCAGTTTTCATACAGTGTCGGGGTTTTAAAACTTTGAAATCTAGAACACGACGTCTACAGTCCACCTCTGAAAGATTAGCAGAAACACAGCACATAGCACCATCGTTTGTAAAGGTAATTAGACCTTTGGTTTAGAGGGGGAAAGGACCTCAGAAAACAGTAATGTTCTGATTATTCTGAAAAGGATCTTCAATATTTGCTTTTGTTGGCTATTTCCTCTCTCCCTTCCACTTAAAAGGTATTGATAACCTGTGTAACAATTATTACTACAGCTCATCTGGGATTAGGACTTTTCTGTTGCCTTGTATGTTTGACAAAAATTCCTCAGATTTTTCCTCTCCAAACTGCACCTGCTTATATGTTCTCTATATTAGTGTTTGGCATCCACCAATTCATCCAAACCAAAACTGTCAACCTAGATTTGTCTATCTTCCCTTACCTCCCACTTCCATTCATCACTAAAGTCCTCTTCATCCAACCTCCTAAGTATTTCTTAAATATCTTTTCATTCCCAGTTTTCACTGCCTTCAATAAGCTGTAGCCATTTTTGCCTCACTTACTTTAATTCAAGGTCATCAGCTGCTCCTTGGAAACACTATATAGAGTCGCTATGGGTCAGAAATGACACAAGGGCACTTAACAACAACACTCTAGTAAGTAAGGAGCTCTAGTAGCATAGTGGGTTACAAGTTGAGCTGGTAACTGCAAGGTTATTCTGCTGGAGAAAGATGAGTCTTTCTGCTCTCATAAAGATTTACAGCCTCAGAAATCCACACTATATAGGGTCACTGAGTATATCACCACCACCGCCGCCATCACTTTAATAAGCACTTACTAAAGTCTCTTTGCCTCTAGTTTTGCTGCCGCCATCCTAGTCACCAAACTGCCACCAATTTATTGTTAAGTTCCGTGCCATTGAGTTGGTTCCGATTCATAGTGACCCTGTTTAGGATTTCTGAGGAATAGCTGGTGGGTTTGAACCACCAACCTTATGGTTAGTGATCCAGTTCTTATTGTGCAATGCCACACCATATCCCTAAAATGATGAGCTAATTGCTTTGTTGTCAAACTTCTGACATGGTCAATAGGACATTTCATCATTTGGCCTCTACCTGTCATTATTGTGTTCTCATATTTTCAATGTGCCGTCCCTCTTTACTCCCACTTTTTCTTTTGGCATTTTAAAGTTCTGTCATATGAGGTTGCTTGCAGTTCTTGAGCACTAAATGTTATTTCATGCCTCTTTCAAATATTTTGTGTGTTTATTCCCTGGTCTTCTGAGTCTCATTTTCTACAAGGCCTCTCCTTACTTTCATTGAAAGCATTTCTTTACCACCATACCTAGCACTTAATTCTAGCTTATCTTTGTTGTTGTTGTTATGTGCCATCGAGTTGGTTCCGACCCATAGCGACCCTGTATAGGGTTTCCGAGGGTGTAAATCTTTACGGGAGTAGAAAGCGTCATCTTTCTCCTGCGGAGCAGCTGGTAGTTTCGAACCGCTGACCTTAAGGTTCACAGCCCGATTCGTAACCACTACGCATTTAAAAAACTTATTTACATATTTCTCCCCAATAAACAATAAAAGCTTTCTGTTAAGTGACCTATTGATCGTTTTGTCTTCAGAGTTTACATAGGGCTGAATATACCAAAGGCTTTTGATGAACATTTGTTTAGTAAATTGATCAGGTGTTTTTTTAACAAGACAAAGCATGTGCACATTGAACCTTTAGAATCTCAAGTCAACAGGTGCCCAGTTAACTGTTAAATGTAGGGCTCTTGCAGAGACTAATTCCACTTTCTTCATATTGATTGATACAGGCATGGGTCCAGTGTTAATTTCATAGTCATTGATTCCATTTTTCATTGTTGAGTCAGTGGGGGGAAAAAACCTTGGAGGAAAATCTAGTCTTTTTGCCCTGACAATAAAACTGAAAGATTCTAGAAGTTCAATGAATTTTTTTAGTGGTCATTTTAGTATTATTTCTGGAGTGTTGTTATCTATGTAGCCAGTGAATACTAATACATTGCTTGTATACTTAGGGGTTCCTTTTGCGGGACAGAGGATCAGATGTTGAAAGTTTGGACAAACTCATGAAAACAAAAAATATACCTGAAGCTCACCAAGATGCATTTAAAACTGGTTTTGCAGAGGGTTTTCTGAAAGCTCAAGCACTGACACAAAAAACCAATGGTAAGTAACTTTGATAATACTCATATTTGAAAAGAAGGTCTTAGTATCTACATTTAAGTGATTATATGTTAGTAGCAATTGCGTTGATTTTCCTCCACTCTATTTGCAACTTAAGCTATGTAGAAGAGAGAATGTCTGCTGGCACATTCAATTTCTCCAGAGAGAAATCAAGGACAGTACTATAAATGTACTTCTAAAAACCTCAGTGGCTTTGTGAACTCTTTGATAACAGGATGCTAAAAGAAAATCACAGCAGTTGTGCAAAAGAATACCAGGTTCCAAAGTTGCATGTAAGGAAATGTGATTACTGACAACAGCTTACTTGTATTTCATTGATGTTATTTGATTTTAAGACTTTTACTTCCCCTCCAGATTCCCTAAGACGAACTCGGCTGTTTCTCCTTGTTCTGCTGCTGCTTGGCATTTATGGACTCTTAAAAAACCCATTTTTATCTGGTAACAGCCCTTTTTACTTATCAGATTTGTTACTTTATGCTTATTAAACTGTATTTCCTTTCCATGTTCGTCTACTTAAATAGAAGGGAAAAAATTAGTTTTAGGATGTAGGCCTTTACTTTTTAGTCAAGATTTCTCATGTTCAGTTACTTAGAGATTATTTTTGTAATGTAGAAACATTTCCATCTGCTAGGTTTCATGCCATTTACAGTGTCAGAGGACTTGTATTTACATTGCTTAGTAGATTCCAAGAAAAATTCTTTAGTTTAAAGGAGTCCAAGTTACTGTTTTTTCATTTCAACCTTTCATCTAAAATGAAGTAATAAAGTCAGTTTGAAATGGTTTCAATTAACATTCAGTTTTCCCCCTGTGTTTTCTACTTTTTGATTGGCTACTGTGAGAGAAAAGAAATGTACAATGAAGAACATTGGTTGGCCTGGAATAGGACTTCATCCCAGAATTTGCATGTAGTTCTTCTATTTCCTTTTATCCAAAAAGAACCATGAAATAGGGACTGTTGGAGTAGTATCAGAGTGATCTGTGATTATTCTCATATGTTTCTTAATTTTTGTGCTTATCTTGAAGGAAAGCATGTATTAAAATATGAAATACATTCCCTTTGGATATTTTGTAGGTCCATGGGATTCATTCATAAATTGATTTGCATTGTTTTTTAAGTATATCGGTCCTTCAAAATAACTTAATGGTGTCCTAGCTATAACTCATAACATTAAAGGAAGTCATAGGCCTAGTCTAGACCTTGACATAATTGCAGCCCTTACCTGCACCCCTTACTCCCACCCATAGCCGCCAAATAAATAATTTAATGAATTAAAACTATAAGTATCCATTCTAGAACTGTTTTAAATTTGTTGCCCCAGCTTGTGTATTTTTGATATGTTAAATGTTTCTTCTTACTCTTAATTTTCCTATTCATTTTTTGCTTCTCAACTTACGTGGGTTTTTTTTTTTTTTTTGAGGTTTTTATTGTGGATTGAGTGAGAGTTTACAGGGTAGATCATACACTTGTTTTATTACAATGATTATAATCCCCTCCATGTGCCATCAGTTAACAGTATTTCTCTCGATTCATTTTAGCTTTTTTCAAAAACAAACAAACAAAACACCACTCCGGCATATATAATAATTTACAACTCCAAACGGCACATTCTGCAAGTCTGCCTCTTGGCCACCAGCTCTTCCTTCCTCTCTTACCATGAATCTAGAGTCCTCAGCTGCTCCCTCTTTCCTTGTCCCGATCTTTGCCACCATCTCTGCTATCGCTGCTTCTCTGGATAAGGTCTTGTATTCCACTTTTGCTCTTCTTCCTTGATGGTCCTAGGGTCCTCTGTTTCTGGACTATAAGATTAACTACTCCCCTGTTTTTGTTACAAAACTTCTACCTTTACAATTGTGACAGTCGCAATCAGTCATGATAGCAGTTATTCACTATTGAATCCCCATCTCTTTTAACCAAGACACTGATGAAAATCATTGAGTGATGACTCTTTCTTCCCCCCCCCACGCTATTAAACTAAACTCCCCCTTGAAACCTTGTAAGCCAGTCACTTCATGCGTATATCACCCCCTCAGTTAGTCAGTGTCTTAAGTTGCCCATCCATATCTGCCCTGTGTACAGAGGGGATAGCATTGATACTTAATGTATTTAGAGTTACTACCTTCATAAGTATAGGTCAAGTTCATCAAATTGTAGCAATTTACCTGCATTTCCTTTATAAAAAGTTGTTTTGTTCCTTTTTTTATTAATCTTCCTCTAGTCAAGTTCTGATTATCAAGCCATCATGGCTAGGTCAAGTGGGTACTATCTGCAACTTTGGGTGTTCTTGGGCTCTTTCTCTCACTCCATATCAGCTGGATGCTTCACTTTCAGCTCTAGACCTCCATTGTTATGTGTCCCCAGGTCTCACCACACTTTAGAACAACCAGCCTTTCCTCTTCTTTCTCATATTTACTGGTCAGTGGGAGTCTATGGAGCATGACTGAACTCAGCCCATTTCTTCATTGCTCCCCTTCCCCCTCTTATACTCACCAGTAGACCAGTGTAGTTGTCAGCAAGCTTACAGGCCTACTCATGTGTTCCCTTTGAGTTTCAGTCTTAGAGGAGGTCAGCTTATATATTTTTGATGTGTTTAATGTTTTTTTTTAACTCATTTTTCCTATTCATTTTCAGTGTGTTGTAAAGGTAATGTTTTTTGCTGCTTTTAAGGAAATTAGAAATTGCTGTTTTCTCATTTATATTTCCTCAAGTTAAGAAACTTTATCTTAGGAGCAGAGAGTTAAGAAAACTTCATGATATTTCCACAAAGTTGATCCAAAATAGTTTACTGTTTAGATCTGTGATTACTTGTATCAGAATAACTAAGGATACTTATTTTAAATGCAAGCTTTCCTAAGCCTTATCTCAGAATTGCAAACTAGAAATTCAGGGCTTGTCGCCTCAGAACCTGAATTTTTACCTGTTTTTCAAGTGATTTTTATGCACACTAATGTTTGAGAACCCCTTGTTTTAAGATTTCAATCAATTAGATATTATAAGAAGAGGTGAATAATTCTTCGTTTTAGTTGGAAGTTTTAATTTAATGTGAGTTTTAATGTGTCTTTTAGTTCTTGAACATGATCTGGAGTTCCAGAAAATCTAGTTTCTTATCCTCTGACTTAATTTTTGTGATCTTAGGTTGCTCAGACATTTAATTTTTCTGGATTTTGCTTTCTTGCACCTGTAAAATAAATTGTTTGTAATTTTGTGAGTCATCAGATGTAAAGTTTTCTTTCTTCTCTTTAGTCCGCTTCAGGACAACAACAGGGCTGGATTCTGCAGTAGATCCTGTTCAGATGAAAAATGTAACCTTTGAACATGTTAAAGGAGTAAGTTCAATCCTTCCTTATCATTCATCAAATACTATTTGTTATTCTGTATAAGGTTAACATTTAACGATTTTGAAGAAATTACATGTGGAGTAGGTAAAATTGCATTCAGAAGTATTAGAAACTTTAAATTTAGGAGTACATGACAACAGCAGAAGATCAATTCTTACCTCATGACAGGTTTTAGTACTGATTTGTGAAGAAACAGCCATCTGTAGTGGAAGGAATATGGATTTTAGAGACAAACAGACCAAGGATTTTAATTCCATTTTGCCACTTTTAGTTTCCTATGTGATTTTGAGCTAGATAACTTTAGACTCTCTTACAGATAATGTATGTGCTTGGTAGATAGTGTATGGTCAACAAATAGTATTTCTCTTCATAAGTTCCTGTTAATTTCAACTCCAGTATGTAAAACGTAGTAGGCAATATGTGTTTGTTGAATGAATAGGATGAATGAATGAATGCTAGTTTATCAACAATAACTAATTCATTTAAAAAATATTTGTTAGTGTCTATTAAGGGAGAGCGCAGTGGCCCTGTAGGATTATAACTGGACTGTGAACCACAAGGTCAGCAGTTTGAGCTCACCAACACCTTCGAGGGAAAAAGATGAGGCTTTCTGATTCCACAAAGATTTCCAACCTCAGAAAACCCTCTACAGGGTTGCCATGAATTTGAACTGATTCAACACTTAACAACATTAAGTGCCAGGTCCTTTCTAGGTTCTGAGATAGAATGAAAAAGGAGTATTTCTTCCCTTTAGGGTACTTAAACTCTAGGGCTAGAAATTGGACAGTAACATACTAAATATAATAAGTATGTTCAAGAAGTCCTAAGTGTTATGGGGTGGAAATAGATCATGGGGAAGGAGATTGGGAGTTCTGGAACAGCAGTTCCAATTGAAATGAGTTGTCCACATTATTGTCTGACCATAGTCAAGGCAAGAGATGATGATAGAATAGTCCAACATGATAGCAGTAGAAGAGGTGACATTCTGAATATATATTCTAAAAGGTAGCTCCAACAAGGTGTCCTAATGGATTAGAGTGTGGGTGTAAGAAAAGGGAACACGTTAAGAACAACCACAGTATGTTCAGATTGAACTATTAGAAGGATACAGTTGCCATTTATTTGCCAGGGACTGGCTTCAACATAGGAACTTGGTTCACGAGGAGGGGATATCTGCCGGCGATAGGGATAGCAAAAGAGACACAGAGACGCAAAGAGAGAGACAAAGAGACACCCCGAAACCAGAGTGGATGCATCACCGGTGAGCAGACTTTGGACCACAGGCATCATGGCCTCTGCAGGCAGCAACGCACTGCCCTGCAAACTGTGCTGCATGCTCTCCAAGCTGTAATGCACACCTGGGACGGTCTGCACCTCCGTTTTATTTAGGGGAGGTACTTTACACAAAGTTGGGCGGAACTAAGACAAGGTACAGCTAACATACGTAATTTTCCAGACATTCAGGCACCTTCACATCGTACTTCGCAGGTTCAAATCCCAAGACCGCAACTTGGTTTCTCAAGCTTAAATAACATACCTTTTAGCACCTAGCCTCAAATGGGGGAAGGAAAAGGAGGATTCCTATTGTGTTGGCTGCCTGGGCCAGGTTTGCAGGAAGAAGCGAGGCGCCTAAGTGAATGGGCTGCACCTGGAAACCTTTAGGCAGGGCAGTCCTATTGTCCTTAGAACAGAGAACCGGGGAGCCACCCAATTTACTTTGACTGAATTCTTTGAGGGAAGAACTGTGCCTGCTTGGAATTTTACAGTCTTGGCTTTTAGGAAAATACCACATTTATCTGTGGATGTCAAGACTTCATGTATGCACTTAATAATAAACCTAGCTGAACACTAAGATGAAAAACAGCTTGCTATGACTGCTAGGTGGCTAGAGTCTGTTCTTCAGAGCCTACAGCCTGTACGGTCTCTGCAACACTTGGGTCCACAGGGCTTCGAACTCCTGACCGGGTCTGCACGGTCTGCAACATTCATTGAGATGAGAAAGGTTATGGGTAGATCAAATTTTGAGGAAGAAGATTAGGAATTTCATTTTAGGCATGTAATGTGTGAGATATGCAAATAAAGTTTAGATACATTTGATAACAAATCATCAGAGAACCATTCTTCCTCTATATAAGTGCAGCAAGTTTTGCTCTAAATTGAACCCAATATTGGGGCAGTAATCAGCTAGGACATTCTTACATACTTTCTGCTTGCAATTTCTGCTTAGTTACTGATTATACCACACTTCTTTTGGGATGAAGGGATTTCTGAGTCCAAAGCTAAAAAAGACATGCTGATGACTTAACATTATAGAAGGAATTGAGTTCATCACAATTAAGGTAGGTTCTCACAAGTTTTCTATGTTAAAATGAATCTGTGTTGTAATTGCTACAAAATCTCTAAATTTTTATTGAGCAAGTAACACAGTTTACCAGCATTGACCAGTACAGTTTTGCCACTTTTGTCACTAGACAATACCTGTGATCAATCCTAACAGGTCCTATCAGGACTTGGTAGTTCATTGGTAAGAATTGTCACCTTCCATGTGGGAGACAGGTTCCATTCCTGGTCAGTGTGCCTCATGCACAATGGTGAACGTTTCATTCTGTTGTGCATGGGGCTTCCCTGCGTCTTGCTGACAGATGCTAACAACAGCAACTAATGTAAATCCTAACAAGTATTAAACAGAACCTGTTTAGAAATCTCCTAACTTGCTCAGAAGTTCTAATGTAGGCTTATTTTATATGTTGTTGTTGTTAAATGCCGTCAAAGTCAATTCCTACCCATAGCGACCCTGTATAGGTTTCCGAGGGACAGCTGGTAAGCTTGAACCTCCAACTTTGCAGTTCAAAGGACTTTGCAGTCTGGCGCATAGCTTCCTTAAAAATAAGGGAGCCCTGTTGCTGCAGTGGTTATGTGCTCAGCTGCTAACCAAAAGATCAGTGTGTCAAGTCCACCAGCCTGCTACATGGCAGACAGACTGTGGCAGTTTGCTTCCATAAAGACTGCAGCCTTGGAAATCCTATGAGGCAGCTGTACTCTGCTGAGGTCATGAAGAGTCAGAAACAGCTTTACAGCAACAGATTTTTTCAGTCCTTTAATAGTCATAGGGGCTTTTTATAATTTCATTCATTGCATTGATCCTCTTGATCTGTTTCCCTCACAGGTACTGAGAATTCTCTTGCCACATCTTAGAAAAAGAAAATGTATTTGAGTAGTTGTTGTTAAGTACTGTCAAGTCAATTCCAACCCATAGTGACCCTGTATAGGGATTCCAAGGAGCAGCTGGTGAGCTTGACCTTGCAGTTCAAACGGCTTTGCAGTCTGGCGCATTAACCCACAGCGCCACACCAGGACTCCATTTGAGTAGTTGTTGTTGTTGTTAAGTGCCGTGGAGTCGGTTCCGACCCATAGCGACCCTGTACAGGGTTTCTGAGGGTGTAAATCTTTACGGGAGTAGAAAGCATCATCTTTCTCCCGCGGACCGGCTGGTAGTTTCAAACTGCTGACCTTAAGGTTCACAGCCCTATTCATAACCACTACGCTAACAGAGCTCCTTATTTGAGTAGTAGATGATGTTTAATCTATTTTTTTCTTTATTGCTACAATTTAATGTTGACAATATGTCATTGTTTTGACCAAACATATTGATCTTATTTTTCATATATAGATAGGGGGCTTATAAATTTATTGCCCTTGTGGCTAACATCCATCAAATAAATTGTTGTTAAGTGCTCCCAAGTCAGTTCCAACCCATAGTTGACCACATATAGGGTTTCCGAGGACTAGCTGGTAAGCTTGAACTGCTGACCTTGCATTTCAAACGACTTTGTAGTCCAGTGCATTAACCCTTTGTAGATTTTACTTTTGAGAATTTGTTAAGAATTTTATTATCATTTAACACCAGTCAGTTATTTAATCTTTATTGTTAATTGAGTGATGTTTTACAGAGTAGATCGTCAGGTTTACTTTCAATAAATAATTTATTTTGTTTTATTTCCATGATTGCAATCCCTTCCATGTACTATCAGTTTTCCCAGTTTCTCCCTATGATTCCTATTTCTATTCAGCCTTCTTTCCCATTGTAAGGACCTAACTGATTTTACCTGATTTTGCCTACCTAGAGACTGCTTGACTAAACTCTAGTCAGGCTCAGAAAAGCATTTTAAATAGACAAGGCCTCAATTTTTAGTTCGCTCCAGAGACAAGGTCAATCTCCATTCTGTACATTAGCCTGAACACGTCCTCTAGCTCCAAGAAAATGATACATGTGTAAATAGCCAGACAGCTCAAGGCCAGAGGCCAGATGTTTTCCTTTACCCTAGCCTAAGAACAAAGACCACCAGTCCTGACCAATTAAACTGTAACATCTCATAGTGTGCCAATTGTTAACCAATCCATAGATTGTAAAGCTGAGCAACCTGAGCTGTTTGAAAACTCTATAAAAACCCTGCAGACAATGAATTCGGGGCTCTTTCCCTATTCCAATGCTTCAGATAAGGTTAGAGACCTGGCTCGAGCTTGAATAAACTACCCTTGTGTATTTGCATCGGTACATGGCTCCTGGGTGGTCTTTGGGGACCCCAAATTCTGGGTATAACACCATGCTTGCTGAATTTTGTCCTTAGGCACATGCTACCCACTTAAAGTCTTGAATAGTTGACCACTCCATGGTGTGCGTACCTCTCTAGTGTCATTGTCCCCCGATACACTGTCACCTGCTTGAGTCAGTAGACTTCAGTTCTAGACCTAGAGGGTGACCAAGGGTCATAGTCTCAGGTTCCTCCTGTCTCTTTCTGAGCAGTAAACCTGGTCTGTTGTTTTTTTTAATTTCTCAATTTTCCTTTTCTCTTTTTATTTTTAATTTAAGGTTTTTATTGTGGGTTGAGTGAAAGTTTACAGGGTACATCATCAGTTTCATATTCAACCATTCATATAACTTGTTTCATTACATTGATTATTATAATCCCTTCCATATACCATGAGTTAAAAGTATTTCTCTCTGTCCACTTTAGCTTTTTAAAAAATACACAAACAAGAAAACCCACTCAGGCATATATAATAAATTACATCTCCAAAGGGCACATTCTGCAAGTCTGCTCCTGGCCACCAGTTCTTAGTCCTTCTCTTCTTAATTGATGAATCTAGAGTCCTCAGCGGCTCCCCCTCTCCATGCCCCCATCTCTGCCACCTGCTGCTTCTCTGGATAAGGTCCCGCATTCTATTTGTGTATTCCTCTCTTGATGGTCCTAGGGTCCTCTGTTTCTGGGCTGTAAGATTAACCACTCCCCTTTTTTTGTTACAAAACTTCTACCTTTACAACTGTGACATTCGCAATTAGTCATGATAACAGTTATTCACTATTTTTGGAGTGTTTTTTTCCTTTCCCTAGTGAAAAAAATAATAATGGCTGCAGCACGGGTCCTGCACATCAGCCATCTGGTAAAATCAAGTAAGGCTTGTTGGCTTTTTTAATGGACATTTGCTCTCCAGTTCACCATATTGTTGTGACTATTACTGCTTAATACCTGGCCCTCTTTGCTCATTTTTGTTTTCTTTCTGGCTCCATAGGTATTTGCATTTGTGACAAAAAGAAAACTGCGTATCTTTTTTAGATAGGTACTTTTTATCTTCTACCAGAATTTTTGAAGTTGGACTATTTGTTTCATTTGCCATCCTTGTTGGTCAGTTTTGGCTTGGTTCTTATGGGGATTTCAAGTCTGCAAATTGTGGTATTATGAGTATGAGATGGTCATTTTTTTAACTTTTTTTTTTTAATTGCTACAACTTTTCACAGAAGGGCAGCATACTGGCAATTAATGGTGTACACTGTTCTTTTGACATTTGTTAGGAGTTGAGTGATTTATGACTTATATGTAATTCTGAGGAGTCCGGTGTGGCACTATAGGGTAAGCAGTGGGCTTCTAACCATAAATTTGGTGGTTCAAACCCCTCAGAAGCTCCTCAGAAACCCTATCCAAGATCATTATGAGTTGGAAACGACTCAACAGCACTTAACAACAACAGCAGTAATCTCTTACAGTGAAATAACCTTATAATCTGCGATTACAAATTAATGTTATTACACCCAGAGTCACTTGTTATAAATATATAGTAAGTACATGGACCACATTTGCTCTTGGAGCTTATGACCAGGTTGGAAGCAGTTCTTGATTCAGAACTTGCGTGGTGAGTCTTGTTGCTCATATCACATGCCACTGATATATGGAAGGAGAGTCTTGGATAAACTCTACTTGTTAACTGGAGGGAGCACTTCCATGAGAAAAAGCAGGCAGTTCAGAATATTTTAAATTTATGTTTTTGTAAACAAACCTTGATAACCTGATACAGTCTTTAAAATTATTTGGCAAATTGTTTCAATTTAGGTGGAAGAAGCTAAACAAGAATTACAGGAAGTTGTTGAATTTCTGAAAAATCCACAAAAATTTACTGTACTTGGTGGTAAACTTCCCAAAGGTAAGCTGTCTTTTCTTTACCATGGTTTGATCTAGAAAATAATGTATTATCTTACTACTTTAACTTTTGCCAGATTTAACTAATTAACATTTTGTTAGGAATTTCCTATTTTATTAAAAATGTACTAACTTTGAACATATTGTATAATTGTGTGTGTTTGATTAAAATTTGTAATTTTATTTCAAACTTTATAAATTGTTTGAATAGCATGAAGAATCATGAGCCTGAATGCCTTTAACAGACTCACCAAAAAGATTTTTGGCCCTTTTGCTTTGTCATTCACTTTCTTTATATGTGCTTTTTTTTTTAAAACCATCTGAGTATGTTTTATAAAAATTGTATTCCTTTACCACTTGTATTTCCTAATAACAAGGACCTTTTATTCTTAGATACATGCCTGGCTCTGCAGATGTTTAATAAATTATTAAAATAAGGAAATTTAACAACTTTATAAAACTGTTATAAAGTTTACCTTTCATATACTGAGCATATTTCAGTTGTCCCCGTACTTCCTGTCTCCCAAAGGTTATGATTCAATCCAGGATTACACATTGTGCTTAGTTTGTCCTTTAATGTGAAACATTTCTGCTTTTGTGTGTGTCTCTTTTATTATCGTGACCATTTTGCAAATACAAGCTAATCATTTCTAGAATGTTACTCAATTGGAGTTTGATATTTCTTCACTGTTACTCAGCATTATTTTTAACAGCTTTGTGGTTTCATTCCAATTTGTGATTATACTGTTACTTATTTAACCAAACCCCTTAATGTTGTTGAGTTTGTTTATGTATAGGGTTTACGATGAGTGACTTTTGGGTTTTGAACCACTAACCTTTTAGCTAGCAGTATAGTATGTATCCTGTAGCGCCACAACCAGGACTCCAAAGGTTTTATTAAAAGTAGCACTATGGTGATTAAGGAGCTCTGGTAGCGTAGTGGTTACGAATCAGGCTGCAAACCACAATGTCAGCAGTTCAAAACTACCAGCTGTTCTGTGGGAGGAAGTTGAAGCTGTCTTCTCCTGTAAAGATTTACAGCCTCAGAAACCCTATACAGGGTCGCTGTGAGTCAAAACCGACTGCATGGCACATAACCACCACCACCACCACCACCACTCCATATAATTATTTTATTAGAAGAAATGTCTAGAAATGGAATTATTGAGTTAATGGGGAGGAGAGGGCATCTTTTTTAACTTTTGTTTTTATATTGCCAACTATCGCTAGTAAGAGTTAACCATTGATTAATAGTGTTGTTTGAATAAACTTGTACTAATTTAGAGTATATTTATTGTCAGCAATAAAATATTGTATAAAGGGAAGGTTAAGAATAAAAGAAATACATTCTCCTTGCAGATTAAAAGATAAAAATTTGTGGGGAAATTCTTAGTAATCAAGATACAACCTATAGAAATTGTTACAGTGTGCTTTAAATTATTAATCCCTTATTGGTGGTGGTGTGCCGTGGAGTCGGTTCCGACTTATAGCGACCCTGTACAGGGTGTCCGAGGAGCTCTGGTAGCGTAGTGGTTATGAATCGGGCTTCGAACCTCAAGGTCAGAAGTTTGAAATTACCAGGCGTTCCACGGGAGAAAGATGAGGCTTTCTGTTCCCGTAAAGATTTACAGTCTCAGAAACCCTGTACAAGAACACTATGAGTCGGAACCAACTCCATGGCACACAACCACCACCACCACAGGGTTTCTGAGGCTGTCAATCTTTAGGGGGCTTTAAAGAGTTTGTGGAAAATTTCCATTATCTATTATTTCCATTTTCCATGATGTTTTGGAGCCTCCTTGTATTTAGTCTCTAGATAGTATAAACAGTTGGGACACTTTACTGCTAACTGAAAGCTTGGCACTTCAAATTTAACCAGATGCCTCAGCAGAAAAGCCTGGCTGTCTGCTTCCAGAAATCAGCCATTAAGAACACTTTGGGTCATGGTTCTGTTTTGACACACATGGAGTTACCATGAGTTGGAATTTGACTCATTGGCAACTAATTTTGGGTTTGTTTGTGTCTGTGACATCAACTTATTTTATGCCTCAATGTTTTAATATGTATATCCTAAGAATAAAGACACTGTCCTAAATAAACACAATACTCTTATCCATCAAAAAATATTGACAAAATTCCTTAACTTAATCAGTTAGCCAATCCTTTTATCAGATATTTGCCCAGTACCCCTAGAGTTTTTTTTTATATACCTGTCTTGTATGAAAAAGGATCCAGTCTAGGTTTCTGTATTATATTTGGCTGCTTGTTTAGTGGTAAATGGTTATATTCATTTATAGTCCTTTGCCTCAAGATTCTCTTTCTCTGTCTTGTCTAACATAAGCAGTTTTTAAATGAATAGGAAAATTGGTTATAGAGAAGATCTGAAGTAAATCGTTAACAGATAAATGTGCTCTTTTGTTTCTAAATATTGGTTGTTGATGTGCTGTTTTTTTGTTTAGTTTTTTTTTTTAATGTTTTTATTGTGGATTGAGTGACAGTTTACAGGGCACATCATGAGTTTCACATTCAACAATTCATATAACTTATTTCATTACATTGATTATAATCCCCTCCATATACCATCA